TTATGACTGTAAGAATTTATTGTAAATGTACCAAGAACAGTATCACATTTAAGTTCTTAAGGGTATCAATGTGTTCGTTTTCGCCCAAAATATAGAATGACTATGTATTTGGTACATATACCTGCTCTTACAAATTAGACTGCTGGAAATAAAGGTTATGGTATAAAATTAAATTCCCCTACTTCCTGATAGTTTCTCATGTGGAATAAAGTTTGTCCTCAATGTTGCTAGTGCAACAGGCATCTCGACAATCCAAAGAGAACTGAATGCTTCCTAGAAATGAACTGCCCCAAGTCATACAGGACAAAGTATTTATGTAGTTGAAGATGCTTAGACAATCAAAAATAAATTAGAACTTGCATGACCAAACTCTCCCCATAGTTTTCTAAATTTGACTATTATTTGGGAAAAAAGGATGGTTAATACCTAGTAAAACCATGATAACGATTATTACACTTAACTGACTAAAGCCATATTATGCATATGACATGTCATACAGCCAGTTAAAATTAAGATAGGTCAGCAATGTGACAATATTTTCCTCATTTGAAGTAAATATGTAATTTTATGGCATATTCAATATGTACACAAGATGTACACAAAAATATTTTGGAAAAAAATTCCTTTTCACTAGAAATTAGATAATATTGCACAATCACATAAGTAGGTGGATTGACAACAAGATCAAATAATCCAAAACCACTTTGCTCAAATTTAGGAAATTGTGAAATTCTAAAATGCATTCTATAACTTGGTCTTGATCTGATTTTCCTTAAATCAGGTATTTCCATTGATTCGTATCCTCACTAATCTAAACTCCAGCACATATATCAAGTAATGCTTTGGTCAATCCATCAAGATAATTCCTACCATCATTAAAGATCTTTATAGTGTTTAGAAAAATCTTGATTATAAAAAATATCTTATGAGAAAGCATATTCTTTTTATATCTTAGTTTCACATTAGTACAGTGAGCAAGTAAGATTAATTAGTAATTACTCTATTTCCTAGGTTTGGCACTTTCAAGAATCTCATCAAAAAACCTTTTCTTACTTTGAAAAATATTAGCATTTTGTTACAGACACTCTCAACCAACCTTAACTTGAATTTTTGTTATTAATTAATGGAAATGATAAATCAAAGCCTCAATAAATCAATCTTTTCTCAAATATTTTTTAGAAAACAAAGTAGTATGTACATTTTTGCCATTTAACAAAAGTTTCTGAATACAATATATCTTTTTAACAAATAGACAATCTGCCTACAAATGCAAAATGAAGTGATGTGTGCTTTGTTGTTTTTTAGGAATAAACAAAGTAATGTTTCCTTTTATTTTGGTCACAAGAGACACAAAAAATCTAAATGAAATTAGCTCAATTATCTGTAAACTTATCATATTATACATAAATATATTTCTCATTTTTCTATTTTATAATTTTGTTTGAACTTACCCATATACCTCTTAGAAAGTAGCCTTCATGAAATAGCACCTCAGTCTAGTATTTATTATGAAGCAAATTTCACTCTATGACATGAATGAGCTTAAAACCACTTGGCAACTAATTAACATGTCTGCAATTAACTACCTATGCATTCTCTCAAATGAGGATTACCTCTACAAAGTGTGAGCCAGCTCTTATACTTTAATAAGAGACACAATAATAATAACCCTATCCAATGCTTCCTTCGTTAGCAGAAGCCTGTGTGACTTTTGAACTGATTTGTAATTAAGTAACTGAAGGGACACACTGAATCGAAGCATGAGGTTGAATCAAACACACTCTGGAAAACAGCACCATTTCACCTGCTGATCCCGGGCACTCAAAACAGTACTTCTGCAGGACTTAACTACTCATGGCTGCTAAGCTACTGAAGTTTCTCCTAAAACATTTTACAAGACACATTTGACTTCATGGCTAAAGGCAAAAACCTATTTTAATCAGTAAAACAACAAAAATAAAAGAGATGCTATTAAATAGTATATTGCCTAGTGTTCAATTCAACCTAGCGGTTGCATAAACTACTTTTAAAGTGCTTCCAGTAAGCTGTATATCATAATATAATCATAGCACAGTTACTGTAAAGTCCTGGAAAATCCAACATCCTATCTAAAGTATGTAATGGACTATCACAAAAAAAGTCCATATAGTCCCCAGGAACTGTACAAAATACAGCATTATATCTAATATTAATTGATATTTATTAAAATAACACTTCATCTTGCATGTAAAATTCCTAGAGGAGATTGAGGGGTTTTTTAAATATGCATGTTAAATTTTCCATGTGAATCTGGATTTTCAAAGTAAAGCAATATGACTGTCAAATGAAATTCTTCAATTCTTTAACTTCTAAGAAAAAAATCTGTATTATTTCCTTCAGAATCTATATTTCCTATAAATCAGAACTTTTGTTTAAAGCTTTAATGTTTTAATTGTATCTAAAGATAATTTGATATGAAAAGAGGCCTTGTTGAAAATTTAGTAATGGTAGCACACTGCCACACCTCAAAGAAATAAGTCATAGGTTAATGCTAGAATATAATACTTTTATTCAGAAACTAGTACAAAAATCTCACTCCTTCAACTGAAAAACTAAAGGCTCATTTTTGAACTGGAGGCTGAGTTCATTTTTCCCCTATGTGGTCATTCAGGCTTTGAAACCACTACTCACTTTTCAACCATCAATATAATATTTTTTTTTTCTTTAAGACATTTATTAGGTGAACAGAAAGTCTGCAAGGACATGTTAAAGTCAACATGTGACCACCCACACAGCAATAAGCACCAAGCAACTTGAGAAAATACTAAAATCCTCACAATATGGATATCTAAAGTACCATAATATCCACAGTATTCCACCTGAAATGACAAACAGAAACCCAACAACCTTATACTTTACTATGAAAGGGAGTTTGTGTTTTGGGGTTTTTTTTTTCTGTTTATTTGATGTAGTACTTAGATAAATCTGTTACAATGTGTGGCAACATTCAAGTAGAAAAAAATGCATTAAAAGTATAGGAATTTGATTTTTTATGCTCTTCTTAGAGCTTTCCTGGAAAGCTTAATGTGGGAAAGAAATAAAAGTACCTACATTTAAGTTATCTATCAGTGAATTCACACAATAGTGTCCTTTCAACATATTTCACTGCTTTTGCATATTTTAATACATGACTGTTTTAACAAGTCTATGTCTACGTGTGTCTGACTGAAAAAGAAATGGCACGTCCGTTCTTCATTAAGAGACTTTGTATGCGTAGCCAGAGGAACTTTAAGGGACCTCATTTGCTGTAGCAGAGGACTGAATTCCAGAGCATCAGCAATACCAGCAGAGGGCAGAGCTGCTGACCAAACGCACCAGTCCAGCTGGTGACCAGGTACCAAAGGTGAAACGTGTAGCCTCTAACGCATTCCACTTTCAAAGATATTTATTCATCCTTGCAAAAAATACATGCAAATAAGCGTATCCACACACTGACCTAACTCATTTCACAGTTCAAATCTAGCCCCGAGGAGGCTCTGCCCGGAGTCACTATTAAATGTCAGAGTCATCCAGAAGTTGCCTGCTACTTGGGATAGTGAAAGCCAAGTTTCAGACATGGTGGCAGGGTTGGGCCTCCTACTCTCATATCTAGCCTCTTCTTCCCTCTCCATCCTCCATTCTGTCCCTGGGTTTCTTGGCACCCCACCCCCACCCACCGACAAAGCTTCCTGTCTACTCTTCATTGCTTGGGCTCCTTGAACTCCTGGGATTCTGGCCTGCAAGGGGGTCCACAGCATCTAAGGGACCACTCCAGCTCAGCCAGATGCCTTTTTTTTCTGGAAAGGGCGGGGCGTGCGAGGAAGCAGGCCAGAGGAGGAGGGAAGTCACTCTCCTTGCTTGGGTACTGACAGGGCTGCAGTCTTCTAAGCAGGTCTGCTTGCTCATTCAATATTTGGTGGTGCCACGTAGGAACTTTTCCTTACCTCTCTCCTCCCACCCCCAGCCCCCTCCCCTTCCCCCTCATTCCCTGTTCCTCCGCCCCCACTCAATTTGCTAGGCAATTTTTTTATCATCCTCCAGGAAAACTATGAAGTATGTGTTGGGGGGACACAGAAGAGTAAGAGAGGGGGGAAAAAGTGGAGGGCTGAAATTTAGGGAAAAGTGTTCTGCCTAAAACCTTTTATTTTATCATCTGTGCAGTAGTTTCCAGGAAAATCTCTTTATGATTTTGCACACACACACACACACACACACACACACTTGTGTTCTCAAATTCTGAATTCACTTCCTCATTCTTTTAAGTCCCCCCAAATAAAAAACAAACAACAACCAAAAAAAAAAAAAGAGCCTGTTTCTCACTTCCTGGCAGACAAAGAACTTTATCAGGGTTCATTTTATACCCTTCCTCTATATTTTTCTCCTCAGCTCACCCTTAAAAAGATATCTCCACTTGTTAGAACCCGAGGAAACCAAAAGATTTGTTCAAAAAGCATATTTGAGCGCTGGACCTCAAACAAAAGCTTAGTACAACTGCTCTTTCTGTTCAAGGTAATTCTTTTTTTTTTCTCTCTTGTCAAAGAGACTGGAAAGTGGTAAAGTGCATTTTCCATCCAGTCCAGTGCCTGCGTGACAGATCTTTTTTATCTGCTACCTCTATTATTGTACTCTCTCTCTTTCTCTCTCTTCTCTTTCCTCTCTTCCTCTGTTCTTCTCTCTCTTCCTCTCCACTCTCCTCTCTCCTCCCTCCTCCCCCTCTCCTCTTTCCTCTCTTCCTCCTTCTCTCCTCTCTCCTCTCTCTTTTCCTCTCCACTCTCCTCTCTCCTCCCCCCTCTCTCTCGCTCTCTCTCTCTTTCCTCCCTCCCCCCACCTCCTCCCTTCCCACTTCCAACCTGGTGGCAGCGACAATCTGGATTCTATTTAAGAGAATGGGGGGGGGGGGGAAGGGGCGGAGGGGGAGGGGCGCTGGAGGAGAGAGCCCCGCAGCCGGTCGCCCACCTTCCCAAGCCGGGGGCATTCCTTACCTCCTCTAACCTCGCGGGCTGGGAACAGGAGCGTCACGACGAGGGTTGTCAGGGTGAAATCCCACAGCCACCGTTTCGTTTTCCACCTGGAGGACCACGGCTCCATCGTTCAGCCCCCCAACTCAAACCCCCACCCCCCAAAACAAACAAATAAATTGCAACTACTGATCAAGTTCGTCCCTTCCCCGGGTCTCGCTGGTGGTGGTCGCTACACGGCCATTCGAGGAGGGCAGCGAAGATTTAAAAAGAAAAATTAAAGTCAAAAGTTTCTTTTCTTTTCTTTCTTTTCGAAGGTGATGCTCTGCTTCCTTCCCGGCTCTCTCGCCCCCCACCCACCCACCCACCCACCCCAAACTTGGCTTCCACGCTGGATTGGTCCCGGGCACCGAGACCCCAGGGTCTGTCCTCTCCCGGGTCCTGCCTTCCTTCACACTGAAGGCGGATGAGGGGCTTTAACCAAAAAGCTGAGAGCACGGCGTAGCCCCTAAAGGCTTCATGCCGTCAGTGGGCCGGACGAGAGGCTCAGGGCAGCCCCCTCCCCCGCCCACTGCCCTCCCCCCCACCCGCCCTCCCCGCGCACCCCCACCCCTCCCCGACCCAGGGCGAAACTGACAAGCAGCAAGCTCAGGGTCGCACCCAATCACACGCCTCTGGGGCAGCCCCGAGCCCGCCCCCCTCTCTGCCGGTGTGCCCAGGAATCAGGACTTCTGCAAGCCCAGCCCACCGGCCACCACCACCCCCATCTCGCCTGGCCTCTCCTCTCCCCTCTCCCGGCACCCCCCCCCCCCCCACAAGCCCCTGGATAGAAACCCAAGGGAGTTCTGCAGGACGCCTGGCTTGCACTTCTAGCACTTTGGGAATGAAAGGGATCCCTAGAGGTCCCGGGAAGCACACACACACGGAGTTTGTCCAGGAGCTGTGGCTGGGTTTCAATGAGAACAGCTACTGGTCTACTGGCATCATCCGTCTGTCTGCAGGCCTCCGTCTGTCCGAAGGGATGGGCGGAGCCACTACGCTGCAGGAGTCCCCGACTGGCCGCTAGGCCGGGGTAACCTTACCCAGCTGCGAAAATGGGACCTGCAGACTCAGGGTATAGGGCCTTCCCCGAAAAAAAAAAAATCATGTCTTATTATTCTTTAATCCTCCATTCAGAAAGGATTGAAGGCGACATGAAAGGGACCCAGGAGCTTGTAGGAAAACTCTCATTGGAGAGACAACACTGGTAGATTTCCCTCTTCAAACTTTAAACTCAGTACCAGGTAACATTCGGGAAGTTGGCATCATAAAGAGTTGAAGCATACTCCGAGAGAGGAGGACCAAGATATTTATGAGAGCTGACATTAAGGGGTGAGTGCTTTAGTGTTTCCAGCTGATAATGCCTGATCCATGATGCAAGCAAGCCAAAGGGGCACAGGAAAGAGAAAAGGAAAGCAAATAACGGGAATCTTCACCCCTGCCCCCAAATGGCTGGGCTTGAAGTTTCTCCTAGGGGTCTGGTCCTTCCCTTGTGGGGGAACTAGAAAGAAAAATCATGATCACAGTAAACGTAGCATCTGCTTCGTCCATCCTCCAGGTAATCTTGAAACCTGGAATTGAGATTGTCCCCTACATCTAAATGAGCCCATTCGATTGAGATCCACAGCTTATTTCTTGCAAACTTTGAAAGGAATGTCCCACAGCGGACAGCAATCAGAGGTGTCTAACAGGGTGCTGACATACATTAACCACTCCATAAAGACGTACTGAGTCAACAAACACCTTTGTCTGTTAACAGAAGAAACTAGAAGCCTTGTCTGGAGCAACCTTTGAGTTTTTAAGACATTTGAATGCTTGAGAGGTTTCTTCAATTCAGTTTACCAAATACATATGACCAATTAGGATCACAAATATCAATTGATCATCAGCATATGGTCCATTTGATTATTCAAAGCCATTCTTATGGCTTAAGAGTTGAGAAGAGGGCAATGTAGGGATTGAAAACCAAGATGGAATTCCTGAACAACTGGAAGAAAAACACTTTAAAATGGAAGAGCACCTGGAGTTATCTTCTATATGAAAGTCTTGCTCTGTGATCAGGAACCATGCCCACACAAGTTTATCTAGATCACTCATTTCTAATTCAGTTAGCACAATAACTGAGATGTTTTGTATCAACTTCAGAGAAATATGGTCACCTTGCTTTTCAAATGAGAACCTCAAATTATTAATACCATTTCCAAAAATAATTTAATATGCTGCATTTGAACTTAGAATGTATAACTATACATTAACAACCCTGCACTGGAAATATAGATTAATTTACCATCTTTTGTATGCCTCAAAAATGTGCACAAAGAGAAAATCTGTATGTAGTTGCCAAACTTTTGGAACTTATCTTTTCTAATCTTTTGTATCTGTGGCAAATCAATGTCTAGTTCTTCTCTTAAAGATAAAGCAGCAAAAGGACCTGCAAATGCAGCAGTGATACTCATTAGACACTGGGATGAAAATGAACTTTACAACTTATGGGGGAGGAAGGAAAAAACAAAACAAAACAAAACCAAAAAGGGAGCGAAGAAGGGACACTGTTCAAAAAGAAATTTACTAATTACCTAACTTATGTAACTGTAACCCCTCTGTACATCACATTTACAATAACAATGAAAAAACAAAGCAGTGAATTTGAAAAATACCTATGTGTGAGGTTGTGAGAATCTTAATTCAGTAGCTAGGGATAGTTACAGCGCTGGCCTCAGTTGTAGAGATGAGACTCCTAATTGTTTCTCTATAGCTCCCCTATGTACCAAAACCTCCATGCTTGGATACAGATAAGAAATGATGCACTCCCGGTAGCAGACTCTACCTCCTGGTTACATCTCAGACTTTCTCAGTGCTTGTGAAAGGGTCCTTTCAGGCAAAGCACCTCGGGTGAATAGAGTTATTACTACCTTATACTCTCTGTACTCTGTGGTCGAAATTCCTCTGGCCATTGCCCAACTAGGCATAAGCTGTGTCTGAGTTAATGCCTGTGGAAGGAAACATAGGAGATTCATGGTAAGGTATAATTATGTCTAACTTGGAGTCTGTAACAAACGGCCAAATCTAGAGTCTCCCAGAAACAGACAAACCCAATAACAAAGATGGCAGAGGAAAACCAGCAAAGAACTACATCCACTGTCTTCAGCTTCTCACTGGGGAACGAGCCAATGGGTTTGTTTCCGGGGTCACCATTCAGCCAGTTTTTGCTAATTTTGTACACATAGGTTTAAAGTGTAATAGAATGTGACAAGTCCCTCCATGCCATTTTCTTTAGAAGCTCAGTCATGTGCATTTTGTCACATTTAAAAATGTCAGAGGTGTTTATTCAACTTTAGAGAATTGGATGTTACAACACAAGTCTTATAAAATACAAGGGAGAGAAATCAAGAGAAAAGCGGTTTCCTTTGTATCAATATCTAAAATCAGCTATTTGTCTATATTGGCTTTCAGAGAAAACAAGATAACTTGGTAATAGACTGGGACATCAGAAAAAAGAAAACTTGAAAGTTCTAAACAATCTTCAGAGTTCATGGTGCCTGACTAAATATTGTTAAAATCACACAGGACCCCCTTAATTTCATAAATTTAGGTTTCAGGATGTTCAAGTTTAGTACTAATGTTTAAAATACATAGACTAAAATACCAATAGATATGGGAGTCATCCATGGCGGAGTGTGCCTAAGGCAACATTAAAAGATCAGAAGCAGAGACACCAATGCCATAATCTTTAAATTATCATAGGATCAATTAAGGGAAAGAAGAAGCTAATTAGGTAGTAAATGTTAGAAATGACACATTGTCTATTCAATCACTTAGGATTCATTTTTCCTATCATCCTTCTGTTTCATTTTGTTTGTAGATTTCGTCACTTGATAAAATGTTAAGTTGAATTTCTATTTCTTCCATAACACAGGAAGGAAACAGGACCTCAGGTGGTACACTGTCCATCACTCAATCTATTCAGCAATATACAACAATATAATTCAAATATAAAAGATATCTTACATAACAGGAAAGAGATACACCTCTGTCTTCTGTGATTCAAAGGGATGAGAAGTCTCAAATTCCAGATTGGTATATCTGAAGTGTAGATCACATGTAACATGTGGTAAATAACATTTAACGGAGGCAAAAGTACTATAGTATACCAGCATAAATATATATATATAATTATATATACCTGATATATATGCCTGTACCATATAATAAAAATCACTCATCCTTCCTATTTTGACTGATACATACTATCTATGTTTATACATGAGTAGATGGAAATTATTTCTCCACTTTACAGAATTATAATTATTACACCAATCAACTTAATAAATGAGAAATAATTGAAGAAGGGGACAACTTGATGCATGTCAGCCATGTTCAAATATTTGGAAAAAATTTCTTTTGAATGTGATCCTTATGGTACTGCATTTTATGGTTTGTCTGTCTTGCTATTTTCTTAAGTTAACTATTTTAAGGAAGGAATGACTAAGCCTTTTAATATTCATTTACACGTTTTTCTATTAATTGGATCATAAAAAGTCTCTTTTAAAGTGTAATTAGTCCCTCTTACCTCACAGATGAACCACTGAGTTGAAGAAAGTAGGAGTTGAGAGGAGCAGAGGTGTTTATTTGATCTACCTCACAAGAGCCCCACTGGACATTGTTCTATGACTTTACTATAATATCCAGAACATCAAAGAAACCCATATTTAACGAAATTTTCACAGTGCAACAGACAATGAAAAGTCATGCTTGTGAGATGTTAAATGAGCCAAGTGGAAGACAGTAAACCCACTTTTCTTTTCTTTTTTTCTTGTCTTTTTTTTCTTTTTTTTCATTTCTTTTTTGGGGGGAGAGAGGCTTGAACTCGGGGCCTGGAAGCTGTCTCTGAGCCTCTTTTTGCTCAAGGCTAGAGTTCTATCACTTGAGCCACAGAGCCACTTCCAGTTTCTGAGTAGTTAACTGGAGATAACAGTCTCACAGGGACTTTTCTGCTCAGGCTGGCATCGAACCTGGATCCTCAGATCTCAGCCTACTGAGTAGCTAGGATAACAGGTGTTAGCCACCAGTGCCCAGCCCATCTTTTTCTAA